GGGGTTATCGAGATGGTTTGAACATGTCCAAGAGGATGGAAAGAAATAGAAAGTACTTCGAGAGTAAAAAATCTGTAGTGGAGGGAAAGCGGGGTAGGTCGGCCTAGAAAGGTTGGAGGAAGAGTCAGAGTGTTTGTGTGCGAGGGGCTAGAACTTCGAGCAAGCAAGCGGTGTCAGTCCTTTAAGACAGGAGCAAATGTTTTTAGGACTTAACGTGCTGTTAGGAGTGTAGACAAGGTAACAATTATGAAGGGATTCAGGAAACTGTGGCAGGTTTCTGGATATCCCTGGAATGGAAGTACAGTGGCCGGCACTCTGAAGGGTTTGTTAATGTTGCAGTTTTATAACTAGTGTAAGTCATGCCTCTGGCAAGACTTGATGGACCTTGAATGATGAAAGTTTCTTTTATCAGGCCACCCTACCTTAGGTGTGGAAATGGCCGATGTGTTAATTTATCGATATACTGGCCGCTGAACTCTACAAGGGTTCATTGCTGCTGTAAAGGGTGCAAGACTTGTGCTGATACTACAGTCAGCACCCATGAGAATAATGGCAATTTTAAATTATCATTTTAAATTATTTAGAAAACAATGATATGCAAACCCTAAGAATCTCTAACAATCCAACATGTCATGTTACACATGAAACTATGATTATTGCAACAAATCACAGCAGGTGGGACTTTGAACCCATGGTAGATATCCATCCTAAAACTCCACAGCCAGTGTGTTTGACCCCTACACATAGTGGTATAGAATATACTAGTTAGATGAATCTTATTAAGAAACCAGTTAGCCGTTGATTAGTGAATTGCTGAGAGTTTCAGATTTATTATAATTATGGGGGTGGCTAAATTCACCCCCCATAGGATTAAACAAGACAAATGAAGGGGGGGGGATGGAAGGTATTCATGTCCAATTCCAGGAACTGGGCAACAGATCCAATTCCTAGATCAATACATTACTATAATAAAAAGATCATCAAACCCAAAGGTTAAACAACTCAGCAGGGCAGTGAAGGATGCAGAGGGCTAGATATAGGGTATGGGAGTCAGCAGGCAGTGGATAGTGGGTATGACGAACAGAGGAGAAGTTGCTAGAGCATCACATCATGTGAAGTAAATCAAGTCACTGTCAAAGTCATGAGAAAGTCTGGATTAAAGGAACAGATCCATCAACAAGAAGGAAGGTAAAGAAAGGCAGCAGAAAAGAGACTACGATGGAGGTAAATCTATGTGCTCGGTGATAAAGAAGTGGACAGTCCCAACAGAATTGGCTAACATACAGGACTGTGACTATTCTCTCAGAGGAACAGGGCGCCTCTCTATCAGATCCCCGCAAAACAGGTGTTGGCCGAAGCAAAGATAGTCTCTCCCATCCCAGATATTAATGACGGATGGCCAAAACCCGTATACACGGTTTAATAGAATTAAGCTTTTATATGGAGCAATCAGAATCAATGTTTTAGCCAATGGGTGCAAAATGTTTAAGCATTACAGCAAATAGTCTGAATGGAACACTATATGAAACAGTGAAGTCATTACTGCTGATCATGCAGCAGTCTGCCAGTTCATTCCCCTTTCCTAGATCAAGAGCCCCTCACCCACATCAAGGAACCTTCCTTGAGGGGTGTGATTTCAGAACTTGGTGAGTTAAGGAGCCTCTACCAGTTGATTGGTTAGTCGGGTTATTTTACAATTTCAAGAGTAAAAATGGCACGTTTCGAGTGTAGGACAGCAGGATTGGATTATTTTATTTCAATCAAAACTAAAGTGCTAAACCACAAGTATGCATAAAATGCATGCAATAGGATTTTAAAAAATAGTCACAATGGCAATTAAAAATTGCCATATGCCTATTTTTAATGGGTGCCGACTGCATGGCACTCGTCTTGCAGCCATACATCAGCTGGTGAAATTTCCATCGTCAAGTGATCGACTTGTAGAAGTTGAAGAGGCTAGGGAACAAAATGATAAATTGGCAACACATCATCAGTCTCACGAAATCATGACAATTGCCAACAATCCTACCAGCGGACGGGGACAGAACCCGCAACAGTCTCAAAACGCAAAACGGTCTGGAGTTTTGAGATTCTGATCGCGTGTTCTATCGCCACCCGTGGGAATGGTTTATCCAGTGTCTGTGGATTCATTATTCCCCGCTGGTGGAAATTGGGGGCATTGTTTCCTTACAACTGTGCTGTCCCTGTTTACCTAGCCATAAGTAGTAACCCTTGATGGCATCCGGGGGAACAAGATTGAAGGACCCAAAGGAATTGCAGATCCAGATGGCACTTCTACTTTCTGGGTTATCCCTGAATGCTAATACCCCAGGTTAAAGTCCCTAGAATATCTGTACAAGATAGTGTCTGGGTAAAGGAAGGTAAATCAGGCTTGATAAAAGGGAAGGATATTCACTGCCCTTAAATTAATTTCGAGTTTCCTCAACTGCCACCTCTTGAGCAACCATTTAGGGGCGAAATACTAATTTTGGTCACAGTACAGGGATGAATTAGCATCATCCTGATCCAAGAGTTTACAAATTCCCTCCCATAAAGAATTAATTATACAGGCATCAACATTCATAACAATTGCATTATCTGGAGAAAGGAACAACCTACAGGTGTTTAACATTTTAATAGTGGGAAGAGCAAAAATCCATACAATCTTACAGCACCCGAGCCATCAATGTGATGGCAAGAAAAAATGAGCTATTACTTTGATCAATAGTCCCCATACTGGTAATCAAGGAATTTGGGATACACAGCCCCCCTGGGAACATTTAAGGGAATCCATCATTATTCTTTAATCAAGATTCTCCACCAGCATAAGAGGTACTTCCCTGAGGAAGGGCACTAATTGTACCTGGGAAGGGCAATGTAAATCATTGGATCCATAGCACCAAGAATCTTAGATGGATAAAAATTAAATATAGCAGTGGATTGTACCTAGGGTGCTTTAGTCATTTGACTAAGACCTTCCACTGGCTTACCAGTCATACCCTCATAACCAAACCTTAAATCATGGGGCTGAAAGTTAAATTGATAACTAAGCATTAACCCAAAGGGTGGTATAGCTTAGAATACCCACTAAACCACCCAGCACTGCAAGTAAAGGGACAGGACATGCAATAAAAACAAAAGCACAAGATCAATCAAGCAACCTCATGTTTGAGTTCCTATTCTGAGGGACTATGGAGACTGGTCCTTCTCCAGAGTGAGGGACTGAACCACCACAAAAACTAAAGGTTGATGGACTGATCAAGTCTTTACCTCCAACACTTGTGCTTCCTTCATATTTAATCTTATCTGTACTTGACTGAAGCCTACTCAAGTTATAAGTTAACCAACTACATGGACCGCCCCGCAATAGCGACTTTCATCCTGCAAGAGGGCTGATTGCTATGGCAAATGTTCGTATGTGCGAATGAATTTTCCCCAAAAGAAATAATGGAAATCAAATTAATCCGTGCAAGACACCCAAAAGTATGAAAAAAAAAATTTTACCACATGAAATATACATTTTCCTACACACAAAGAGAAGGATACATGCACAATAGTAAGTAGTACATGCACAATATATTATTGTGCATGTACTACTATTACTAAATGAAAGAATAAAATTACACTTTACCTTTATTGAAGATGCAGCAATGACTGATGAGACAGTGTGTCCTGGGGAAGTGGCCTTTTCCTCCTAGTACTGTAGGTCCTGTTTGCATTTTCTTCCAGAACATGCCTTATCACACTGAGTATGCCACTAACATTCTTAAATCTCCTCAAACCAACCTTTGCGCTTTAAATTCACCAATATGAACTAGTTTCCGGCATTTTTTCCTGTTCCCCTGGTGTTAGTCGACAGGTGTGGTTGCATACTGGAGAACACAAGATTAAGGACCCCAATGGAAATAAGTTAGGACAGTCTTCCGAATGACCTGACTTTTTGGTTTATACCGTTGCAAATCCACTGGGTTACTTGTTTTCTTTGTATTCTCAATAAGCCACAGCAACAACGGTGTCTACAGCACAGCAGAGCTCTACAGCAGCAGCAGACGATGCTACAGCAGCAGCAGAACGAGCTACAGGCACAGCAGACAGGCTACAGCAGCAGCTAGACGAGGCTACAGCAGCAGCAGGACGAGCTACAGCAGCAGCAACGAGATACACAGCAGCAAGAGCAGACGAGGCTACAGCACAGCAGACGAGGCTACCAGCAGCACAGACGAGGCACAGCAGCAGCAGACGATGCTTACATGAGCAGCAACGATGCTACAGCCGCAGCCGACATGCTACAGAAGCAGCATGAACGATGGCTACAGCAGCAGCAGACGATGCTAACAGCAGCAGCAAGACGATGCTACAGCAGCAGCAGACGATGCTACACAGCAGCAGGACGGTCGACTACAGCAGCACAGCAGCAGCTGACGGAGGTACAACACAGCAGCAGCGACAGTGCAAGCAGCAGCATGACGTTGGGGTACAAAACAGCAGCAAGCAGCTGTAAGACAAATATAAGCGATGGTTTTATTGGGTTTAAATACAACCTGGCCAGCTCGAGACACGCACTCCACTTTCATACTTTACAATGATCTTTTTTCTTCATCTCTATAGTAATTTCACACCCTTATTGCTGTAGGGGTTGGCACTAGAAGCTTTCTTGGAGGCCCTGTCACTTATTTTCCAGAAAAAATCACCAAAAACACTAATAATACGAAATGTTCCGATTGTATGCTTGGATGTTACCGCGGAGGCTGGCTGGTAAACAATGCCACCGGCGGAACATGTGAGCGTGGCTCAGGCCGCACATTGGACGCGTCTCGGACGAAGAGCGGTGAGCGAGTTTTTGGGCGGTATGCGAGGCAAAATTTTTGCGAAAAAAGCGAGCGGTATGCGGATTGTACGGTATGCGGGGGTCCACTGTACTACAAAAGGATCATATACAAAACTGTACCATAACCAGGTTTACCACAAATTTATCCACTGGACTCTTAATAAAACCCAAATTGACAGTAAAATTTATTTTTGAATTACAAAACCTATTTATGCAAAGAAAAACTTAAGCTATAAGCAATGAATGTACATCCAATGATTGATTTGAGTCATGCGCCTAAATAAAAAATATGCAACATTTAACATCCACACAAGCATAAAAGTTATGTAGAAGCCAGTGTCATTATCACTCTTCAAACTGGAGTGCCTCTTCCTTCTCAACCTCAGCAGGTGCTGCTGAAATAGCATTAATTAGTAACTGACTTTAAACTCATTTCATACAGAGGTTCGCTTATCAGTGTTGAAATTTGTAATCACAGAGATTCAGGTGAAACACAGAAAGCATCATATTAAATTACGTACAGCAATTACCATGATGTGACAATTTATTAAAGTTTGTTAAAGCTAACTTTTGCTTTATTAGTACAAGATATAAAAAATATTCAAAAATTTTCAAAGTACTTAAAAATAAAAGTAACTGGACCACTAAAATCTTATGCAACATTTTTCATACCTGCATCTGAAGGAGCAGCACTGCTACCATTTCACTGCTTCCACAAATACCATTGCTAACAATTGAGCAAAGGTGTAGGTCTTGAGATGCCTGGCCAGTAAGGTTCAACATTGAAGTTCACAGCTTTCAGGACAGAATTCATCTTATTGGCCTGCAAACAAATGACATAAAACATTTACAGGATCTATGGAAAAAAAAACTCTTCCGACTAATAAAAGTTCACTAATTAAATCCACTTAACTTCCTGTAACAAAATAAAAGCAGTTTAAATATTGTACCTTTTCTAATTGAGACACACTGCAAGATATGCTAGTTTGCCTCACCCAAGAGAAGAGGATTTAATATACTTCCACTTGACGGCCAGAGGGGAACATGTCCATCCTGGTGCTTTTTGGGAAGCTACAAAAGAATAACATTTAAAGAATGTTTACAATCCTGCAAATTTAGGACACTGCTTTTGAAATCCAGGGTATACAAGAAAATCTGATAAATCACTGGTAGAACTTTAGCCTAGCTAAGTCAGAGGTCGGCAAACTTTTTTTTGGGTATTATCCCAAAACATTTGTGTATACAGTGAAATGACCCAACAGACCAAAAATGGGGGAAAAAAAAATACATCTCACTTACTAAATAAGTCCGAAACTTTATTTGTTTACTTAGCCTTCATTACCAGAGATCTTCATTTTTACCCAATTTTGGATAATTTACCCTGGTTCTCCATCCTCTGAGTTAAATCATGAACATATTTAACCCTTAAACTGTCCAAGCAGATCTACGTTCACATGCGTAGTGCTCCAAAAGTAGATCTATGTTTTTTTTATATATTTTCAAATTAACAAAAAAAAAAGTAGATCAAAGTTTTTTTTTTTACACGTTTTCAAATGTAAAAAAAGATTACTTTTTTTTTTACATACTTTCAAATGTTAGAAAAATGTAGATCTACGTTTGTACAGTTTAAGGGTTAATGTGCATAAAAAAACTGAAAACATTGGTAAATTTCATTTCCTGCATCAAAACATTTTGTAAGTATTTTTCAGGGGTCTGAAACTGATTAATTTACATTATTCCTTATGGGAAAAACTTATTTGGTATTCTAACAGCCTTCTGGAATGAATTAAGTTTGAGTACCACAGTACTACTGTGCTCAACTTGATGAAAGTATGAATCCAGTGACCTCTGGGACAATACAAAAGTCGCCAATCATCCAGAAGTCTATTTGGCCTCTTGCAGTTTGGTATAGTTTTCCACATTACATGTGGAACAAATGCTTTAGAAAACATCAAAGCACTGGTTTGGCACTTCAGCCTCAAAAGTATGCTTAAAGATGTACTCATTTACCGATGACTCGCACTTATGACGGGCTCTGACCAGTATGCATACCTAAATAATGTACGTACAGTGGTCCCTCAATAATCGTCCATAATCCGTTCCTAGAAGTGGGACTATTATCGAAAGACAATTTTTTAATCAATTTTCCCCATAAGAAATAAGGTAAATACAATTAATCCATTCCTACACCCGAAG